TGCACAAGTTGGAAACAGAGAAGAATCACTGATAGTTGGAAATTTTGGCCTTGGTGACAGAAATAATGCTGGAGAGCACATGATAGAATTTTGCAAGACCAATGACTTATTCATTGCAAATACCTTTTTTCAACAACACAAATGGTGGCTATCCATGTGGACTTTGCTGGATGGAATACATAGGAATCAGATTGACTACATCTGTGGCAAGAGGCGATGGAAACACTCAATATCTTCAGCCAAAACAAAGCCAGGAGCTGATTGTGGAACAGACCATCAACTGCTCACATGAAAGTTCAACTTGAAGTTGAAGACAACTAAAACAAGACCATGAGAGCCAAAATATGATCTTGAATATATGCCTCCTGAATTTAGAGACCATCTAAACAATAGATTTGATACATTGAACACCAAAGACTGAAAACCAGAAGAATTGTGGGATGACATCAAGAACATCATCCATGAAGAAAGCAAGAGGTCATTAAAAAAAACGAGAAAAAAATAAAAGACTAAAATGGATGACAGAAGTGACTCTGAAGCTTGTCCTTGAGCGGAGAGTAGCCAAAGCAAATGGAATAAATGACAAGATAAAAGAAATGAACAGAAGATTTCAAAGAACAGCTCGAGCAGACAAAGCCAATTACTATAATGAAATGTGCAAAGACTTGGAGTTAGAAATCTAAAAGGGAAGAACACACTTGGCATTTCTCAAGCTGAAAGAACTGAGGAAAAAATTTAAGCCTCAAGTTGCAATATTGAAAGATTCTATGGGCAAAATATTGAATGATACAGGAAACATCAGAAGAAGATGGAAGGAATACACAGAGTCACTGTACAAAAAAGAATTGGTTGATCTTCATCCATTTCAGGAGGTGGCATATGATCAAGAACCAATGATATTGAAGGAAGAAGTCGAAGCTGCACTGAAGGAATTCCAAAGAACAAGGCTCCAGGAATTGACAGAATACCCGTTGAGATGTTTCAACAAATGGATGCCCCACTGGAGGTACTCACTTGGTTATGCCAAGAGATTTGGAAGACAGCTACCTGGCCAACTGACTGGAAGAGATCTATTATTTGTACCCATTCCAAAGAAAGGTGATCCCACAGAATGTGGAAATTATCTAACAGTATAATTAATATCACATGCAAGTAAAATATTACTGAAGATGATTAAAAAATGGTTGCAGCAGTATATTAACAGAGAACTTCCAGAGGTGCAAGCTGGATTCAGAAGAGGATGTGGAACAAGTGATATCATTGCTGATGTCAGATGGATCTTGGTTCAAAGCAGAGAATACCAGAAAGATGTTTACTTGTGTTTTATTGACCATGCAAAAGCATTTGATTGTGTGGATCATAACAAATTGTAGATAACATTGAGAAAAATGGGAATTCCAGAACACTTAATCGTACTCATGAGGAACCTGTACATAAACCAGGTGGCTGTTGTTCGAACAGAACAAGGGGACACAGCATGGTTTAAAATCAAGAAGTGAGTGCTTCAGGGCTGTGTCCTGTCACCGTACCTATTCAAATCTACATGCTGAGCAAATAACCAAGAAGCTGGACTTTATGAAGAAAAATGTGGCATCAAGATTGGAGGGAGAATAATTAACAACTGTGATACACTGACTACACCACTTTGCTTGCTGAAAGTGAGGATGACTTGAAGCATTTACTGATGAAGATTGAAGAAGACAGTCTGCAGTATGGATTATACCTCAACATAAAGAAAACAAAAATCCTCACAACCAGACCTATAAAGCAGCATCATGATCAATGGAGAAAAGATTAAAGTTCCACATTACTTGGTTCTACAATTGACGCTAATGGAAGCAGCAGTAAGGACATCAGACGATGTATAGCACTAGGCAAGTTGGCTGCAAAAGACCTCTTTCAGGTGCTGAGAAGCAAGGATGTCTCTTTGAGGACTAGGGTGTGCCTGACAGAAGCCACGATATTTTCAATCACCTCATCCATGTGAGAACTGGACAATGAATAAGGAAGACCAAAGAAAATTTGATGCATTTGAGTTGTGGTGCTGGCGAAGAATGCTGAAAGTACCATGGACTGCTAAAAGGACTAACAGATCTGTCCTGGACGAAGTGCAGCTGGAAAGCTTCTTGGAAGCGAGAATGGCAGACTTTGTTTCACCTACTTTGGTGTTGTTTTCAGAAGGGAAATAAGGTGGAGGGTTGACAAAAGAAGGGAAGGCCCTCATCAAGATGGATTGACACAGTGGCTGTGGTGATGTGCTCAAGTATAGTAGGGATCATGGAGCTTGCGCAAGACTGGGCAGTGTTTCATTCTACTGTGCATAGGGTCACTATGAGTTGAAGATGACTCAATGGCACCTAACAACAATAACAACAACAGTCTTCAAAGTGATATTTCTGCTCTTCAACACTTTAAAGAGGTGTTTTGCAACAGATTTGCCCAGTGCAATACGTCATCTGATTTCTTGACTGTTGCTTCCATTGGTGTTGACTGTGGGTCCAAGTGAAATGAAATGCACATAATCACAGGGGTCTTATATTCCCTAAAGCCCCAGGTTAAAAACCCAGTTCTTTGGAATTCCATGAAGTGAAACAGCATGGTGGTTAAACCTGTGGATGCTGCAGCCTGGTTCATAATCTCAGCTCCGCCACCTCTAACTATGTAACCTTGGGCAAGACATTGAACTTTTCCTCCTCTGTAAAGTAGAAGTGATCCTTGCATCTAAGTCAAGGGTTGTTAATAATGATCAAGTGAGTCAATACATGTAACTCATTTCCTGTGAGGCCGACAAAAACGCTCAGGAAGTGTTGGCTGTTATTATTATGAGGTTAAACCAAAGTGTTATTGAGGCTCCCTCACTACACTCACTCCTCTTTTTACCCCCCTTCACAATGTTGTTGTTATTACGTGCCCTCGATGTGCATCTGGTATTCTCTGCTTGGGCCCTCCTGTCAAAGCCCTAGTGTCCACTTTTCCCTTTCCTCTGAACCCACCCCTTCCTTTTTGGTCTGAGTCTCTACTATGCTCAAATTTGGTTTTTAAAGAGTTAAGCTTTCTGACCCCCATTCTGAGAGGAGGAAGAAGAGGACCTAGGCCCTATCAGGATGAAGACTCAGCCTTTTCCTTGGCCTCGACATGATAATGCTAGGAAGCATGGTGCCTCTCCCAACTCTAAACTGCCTGCTTCCTGCTGCTCTCTCTCTAAAATGTCCCAGCTCCACATTTTCACTGGTTCTAACAGGAGGTAGGGCTGCAGGTGAAAGAAGCAGATGCCAACTGTGATGAAGGAGAAAGCATGAGATTTTCACCCAGAGCATCACCCACGAAGTGACTGTGTGTCTCTGGGATTCCCGTGACACAGAGAAGAAGAGGCCTGTGAAGGGAGTGTCGGAGCTTTGTCCCCCAGCTCTGAAACGTAGAGGTCCTGAGGGAATCCCTAACTTAGATGGTCCCCTCTCTCATTGCCATTCTAGCCTCCATTCTGACATACGACGGGTTAAACTGGTCCATGTGCAGCTCTAATGGAGGCTACCTGGAGGTGAGACCAGGCCAGGCCACCCGGAGAAGATCCAGGGCTGGCTCAGGTCACATGGCTAAGCACTTGAGTCACCTACCATTCTGCCTTTTGAGTCGTCAAAACTACACAGCTGCCACTCCAACTAGCTCTCTAGCAGCAAAGAAAAAAAGGGAAACTGAGGTAGGACTTAGGTCATTAACCACAGCAGGCTTTAGGGAAACTGACCCTCTCATCTCACTGGGCCCCTGCCCATCTTTCTGAATGATTTTCCTAGACTCTATTGTTTGACCTATTTTTCCTTGACTGCTTGCGAATTCTTTGAGGGCACAAGAATCCTCTTCATTTCTCCATCCACAAAGTCAACCTCTGTGCCACATACATAGTAGTCATTCATTCATTTAATAACTCTTACTGAGCACTGTGCCAGATGCTGGGGATACAAAGTGCAACAAACTAGACAAGGTCCCTTCCTCATAGAACTTATATTCTAGTTAGGATGATTCAAAGATGTAAACCATGATAATTACAAATTATGACAAGTGCTGTTTAAGAAACCACTGTTGTGATGTGGGGGTTGTTGCTTGAAGTAGGCAGGGAATCCTGGTCTGAGACCTGAGCTGAGACATGAAGACTACAAAGAGCCACACAAAGAACGTCTTTGTTTCATAAATGTATACTGCGAGGACTATTAGCTGGATAAATGAATAGCTACATGGATGCATGGATAGACAGATAAACCTACTGGGTAGGTTTTGGTGTAGATGAGTCTCACTACAGTACCTAGTCCACGAGCTTAACAGAAGACAGGAAGGTGGGCACCAAAAAAACAAAAAAACACCTTTTGCCATCAAGTGGATTCCAACTCATAGTGATCCTATATTACAAAGCAGAACTGCCCCATTGGGGTTTCCAAGACTGTAAATTTTTACAGAAGCGAACTCCCACATCTTTCTCCCATGGAGCAGCTGGCAGGTTCAAACCGCTAACTTTTCAGTTACCAGCTGAACTCTTAGCCACTGCATGCCGGGGTTCCTTGGAGGTTGGTTGAGCAGGAGTTGGTAGAAAGGGCTCAAAATTCCCCAACTTTGCTCTCACCTGATGCGTGCTAAACCAGCCGACCGACCCGAGGGGCCACAAGGGGGCGATCGAGAACCCATTCATTTCCCCTTTAAGGTCAGGCCGGAAGGCTGCGGGTGAAGGGCCTTTGAGTCGGCAGGATAGAAATAGTCCTGCTCTTTAAGAGGGCGGAGTCACTGGTGTGGCGGCGGCTTCGAAAGCAGCTTGGGGTTCTCGACCCCTGCTTCCCTGAGACCTTTCCTCGGTCCCCGTCCGGGCCGCAGCGACGCTGCCCTTCAGCGCCTCCCAAAAAGTACCATCGCCGAAACTCGGACTCTCCCTCCCGCGCCGAGTCCTAGGCCCAGGCGCTCTGGCTAGTCGGAGCTCGCCGGGCCAACCCACGGGCCGGAGCCCACTGGCCGTCGCTATGGTAATGCCGCACCCAAGTCAGGATATCCGGGACCGCCTAGTCCCGGAGCCTGGGGACCCGCCTTCGGGGTTCCAGCCCCTCACTCGCGGCCGGGCGAGCTGCAGAGCCGGGGCCGAGGTGTGGGCAAGGGCTCAGATGGGGTCGGGAGACCTGGGTGCTGGTTGGGGCTTGGCACGGACGCGCCAGGAGAACCTAGGAAGGCACTTCCCCTTTCTCTGGGCCTCAGTTTCCCTCCAGTTGCCAGCCTTTTCTTGGAGAATTCTTGTTCATCCTTCCCCGCCCGCCCCCAACCTGTAACCCCCTCCACCGTGAGCCTTAGACGCTTAGAGGCGGGTGTCTGCTGTAGCTCTTGGCTGCTCTAGCATGTGGGGTTCAACAGAAAGAAAGAACCACGGATTGGGTCATCCCACCTTCCTAGGAGCATTGGATTAGGTAAAAGGAAACCACAGGCTTGGCTTTTGGAAACAGTGGATTGTGCTGGGCGTGCTTGGCTTTAAGGTGATTTATCTTTGACGAAGGTTCCCTCAGGCCAAACATTTGGGATGCTGCAAAATCCTTAGGTCCGTGTACACAGTACTGAGTTTGAAGAAGGACCCATGCTCTCCTTCGCAGCCTTCCCTTTTGCTCCCTCCCCACGTTTAGGATGAATGCAGGTGGATCTGAGTGGATTCTTTTACAAGAAAAAAATTCTAAATCATCTTGTCTTTAAATAAACCCTATCTCTTCTCTTCTTCTCCCTTATTCCCCCCCCCCCAGTACTATCAAAAACCAAACAAACAGAAAACTGTACACCTGAGGGCCTTGTTGCTAGAATTGGGAAGACGCATGGGGAAGACAGAGTGTACTTGCAAATGGCATTTTGTCTCCAACCTCAATTGCTTTGTTTTTCTTTCAGGCATGCAGTTTGCAGAAGCTGTTTGCTGTGGAAGAGGAGTTTGAAGATGAGGTAAGAAATGTCAGTGATCAGAGATGGCAGAGGAATTAAGATGTAAACACCCAGGCCTGGAACATGTGGGAGCAGCCAGAAACATTTTAGTTGACATGTATATCGTGTTGGTTGTGAGAGGCTGAGAAATGATGAAAAATGTAAGCAAGCCACTTAACTGTGTTGTAAACAACAACAAACCAGAGAGATGAGTTGCCTGGTTGCCATACCTTTAAATTCTAACGCCCCTACTTAAAAGCTTGGAAGCTTGGTCACATCAGCTCAGCCCCTCAGCTCACTGGCGTCGAGTCAGACCCGACTCATAGCGACCCCTCCTTGGGTTTCTTAGGTGGTATCACTGCAGAAGTAGATTGCCCAACCTTCCTTCGGAGGAGTGGCTGGTAGGTTTGAACCACAGCCTTCTGGTTAGCAGTCAAATGCCTTAGATACTGTGGCACTAGAGCCCTTCTGGGTCACGTAGGTGATTTAATTCACCTTCTTGATGACTAACTTAGTTGAAGTGGGAAGAGTGTTTTGTGACAAGACAGCAGGAGGCTTGGGGTCACCAACTGGCTTTGTGAGCCAGGGCAAATTCCTTCATTCTCCAGACAATATAAGGGGATTCCCCTGCCTCAAATGCCCTTTTTTCCTTCCTTCCTTCCCTTCCATAGATGGGAGCACAGACAGGGCTCTGGAACCAGCATTTTAGAGTTACCCACCACACACCAACTAAATCAATCCCTGGGGATGGGCCCAGGGAGGGCTATTTCCAATGTGCAGCTGGAGACCACGGACCAGTGATCTCCATAGCCCCCTTCCTGCTCAAATCCAACAGCTATAGTTTTATCCATGAAGTCTGCAATTGTTCTCTCAAATCGTTTTTATAAAGAAGCAGGATTTCAGTGAGTAAAGCCCAAAGGGGTCAATTAACCTGTTCAGAATACAGCATAAGCAGCCTGGATGAGGACTCTGCCTGCGGACTGTAGTCTAATGTGCAGGGAAACCACGAAGCCACATTTATTAGAATTGTTCTGTTTTACCAGGGACAAAAGGTTTAAAACCTGCTCTTTTTTTCAATCTCCCAGTACTTTGCCTAAAAACTCCCATTTTGAACTCATTTCAATGTCTGGTTTTTGTGCTAGGTATGGTGGTGGATCTTGTACCAGGGGCCCTCCTGGCAGCTCTGGCACCACCCTCCTTTTCCTTGGAGGCTTTTGGAAGCTGGGTTTGGAGGGAACAAGGGACCTTCCACATAAACCTCTTAAGAATCAGTCCCTGGCATTCACTGAGGCCCGAAGGCAGAGGGACAAGGGCACACATGAGTTCTTGTCCTGCTTCCATGGAGCTACTTAACCTCTCTGAGTCTCAGTTCTTTTCAGACATAAAACGGGAATAATAAGAGTACCTATTCACAGGGCCAGGAGCTCTGGTAGCATAGTGGCTAAGACACTTGCCTGCTAACCAGACGGCTGGCGGTTCAAACCCACCAGCCACTCCTCGGAAGGAAGGTTGGGCAGTCCTACTTCCGTAGTGATACTGCCTCGGAAACCCAAGGAGGGGTCGCTATGAATCGGGGCCGACTCGACGGCACATAACAACAACAACAACAAATTCACAGGGCCAGGAGCTCTGGTGGTGCAATGGGTAACCAGCAGGTCACTGTCCAAACCCACCAGCTGCTCCACAGGAGGAAGATGAGGCAATGTGCTTCAGTAAAGATTTACAGCCCTGGAAATCCTATGAGGGTTGCTATGAGTCGGAATTGACTCAATGACAGTGGGTTATTCATAGGGACATCGTAAGAATTGATTGAGAGAATTCTGCTAAAGTGCTTACTTGGAACCTGGCACCCAATAAGGTTTCCAACGTTAGCTGTTTTTGTTATTGTTGGGGGACTTGATTTGTGTTTTTATAATGGGAGATATGCCCTTGTCTTTGACTTTCAGCTTTGGGGATGTGTGGTTATAAATTAAAGAAGTGATTGTTTCAGTGACCCTCTGAGTCTTACCAGGTGATGGCAGGACTGCTGGGCCAGTCATGGAATTAAAGGGAAGGGCTCTGATGCATCAAGTTTCTAATCCATGAAAAAATGACAGACTAGTCCCTTTCCCCCTCCTCAAGGCAGAATGACATCATGTCTGAGAGTGAACTCTTTTGTGGGGAAGGGGACTCCATCAACCCCCAGGGTCATTTCATTGCTGTTGTAATTCTGATCATCATTATTGCTAACTCCTAAGGTGATCCTGCCAGAGTTTGTGACTCTCTTGATAATATACAAAGCAAGAGAAAGCCGTTTTCTAGCCCAGACGAATGAATACAGCAGTAGGGAGTGGGGGTGGAGGGGACCTTCCTGTCAGTTAAATCAGCAGTTCTGACTCAAAAACACCCTCGGAACAGGTCTGTAGCTCTCGAAGGTGTCAAGCTCACCTTGCTTCCCAACTGGAGTCCACACTTAATTTAAGCTGCCGGAAAATCTATATTTAGCTTGTGGTGCTTTTGCTGGATCCAGGTTCTTTATCGAGGGCTGTGTGTGCAGCACACGTGTGTGTGTGTGTGTGTGTGTTGGCGGTGGGGAGTGGGCTGAGGACAGGCATCACGACCAGCTGCAGAGATCCCTATTGCACAGGCTGGACCTCAGCAAGCTAGTATTCTTCAGACAAGTGTGTGACCTTGGGGGATGGTTTGACTCTGTGGTGCCCTCATATGTTTGCTTCTCCTGCTCCTAACAGATTGGGGAGAGAGAGAAAGAAGGTCAGGGAGTGGGCTCATGGGCAAGGTCAAAGGCAGCAAGAAACCACACTGTTGCCTTTCATGCCTCGGTTTCTGGCTTGTGCGTCTGCACACACACATATACGCTGCCTGCCTCAGGCAGTGAGAGCAGAGTATTTCCTGATTTCCAGTGAGAGCAGAGTATTTCCTGATTTCCACATGCCGAGACCCACTGTCTCTGCTTCTCTATAGGATTTCCTGTCTGCTGTAGAAGATGCAGAGAACCAGTTTGCTGGCTCACTGCCTGTGAATGCTGGGTGCCTGAGACCTGTCTCTTCTAAGCCACAGGCCACGGTGCAGGGCCAGTCCTCCAGGTGGCTGCCGTCACACCCCACTGCTCCTTCCAAGACTTCTGGACTCTGCCTTCCTTCCTCTGGCATGTCCATGGCTGTCAGGGGCCCGCCTTCCACAGGGGCACCTCCCCTAAGGCCTGTCTTGACTTCCAGCAGCTGGACTAGCCATCAGAGAAGAGTGATGCTGACCGAAGTACCCAGAGAGCCAGCAAGACCCCAGTCCTTAGCCCCCTGCCCTGTATCCACCTTAGAGAGTCCACATCAGGTGTTTGATGGCCTCGAGGGGCCTGAGCAAGATGAATTTGATAAGGTCCTGGCAAGCATGGAGCTGGAAGGGCCTGGCATGGGGCTGGACCTTGGAGTTAGCAGTGAGATCACAGGAACCCTGCCCACCTGGCAGGGAGAGGACCCAGTATTGGCCAAAAAAGCCCGGGTAGCTGAGCTGCGTGGGTCTTGTCCAAAAGGGCCTACACCTGCCACCCGTGCTAGGCATCATGGCTTTGTTTCAGTCCAGGGCCAGCCTCTAGATCCAGCTGTCCACTGTAGGACTCCCCAGCACCACTTGAGACCTGTGACTTCAGGTAACCTTCCTATCCCAACTGCTTCAATAGGTGCCACTCAACAGTGCCACTGGGGAGTCTGTGCCAAAGACCCCCCTCTTCAAGCACCTCAGCCTGTCCAAGCTGCTAGTGGTCTTGTTCAGTGCAGCCCTCAAAACCGTTTCTCTCGTCAGTCATTCCAGTCTCCAGGTGCCCAGTTAAGTGGCAAACCTCGATTTCCTGGACGACAAACACCCAACTCAGGCTGTTCTACTCTGTCGAGGGCTCCCTCTGGATTCTGTCCCCAGGGGCTCTTAGAACCCCAAACTCTGGTGGCACCTGCCGAGTCTCCTGTTGGCACCCCAAAGGGCCTGCATTCCTCCCTGGCTCCCCAGGCAGCTCTGCAGATGCCTGTAGTCACCAACCACCTGGTGCAGCTGGTCTCTGCTGCCAGCCGGACGCCACACCCTCCCACCCACACTGCCACCCAAGCCAAAGCCCGTCGCTTCCCTGGCCCAGCAGGGCTCCTGCCACACCAGGTGAGTGATGTGTCTCTGGCAGGAGCCAGTGCTCTACAGGATAGTGGTGAGGGAGAGAAGCAAAGTTCAGCACTGTCCATTCCTAGGGTATCTTTATTCCTGGAGTGAAGGGAGGGAGTGAAGGGGGAGGGTTTTCCAAACAGTAGAAGTAGTCACTGAGGCAATTAGATTGACTCCCCTGTGTTTGCTGAGGACATGAATGGGGTAGGCCGCTTGGAACTGAGAGGGAGATTAAACAGAAATAGCCTGTCTTCAGGTATTTACAGTGTTGTGGAAGACACAGGCACAAAGTGATGGTACACAAAGTGCAGGGTGTGGGTGGAGGGCGTTGCCTGGGTGCTGGGGAGGCACTGGTCCTGACTTGGGCTTCAGAGGGAGGTTGGAGTAGATGAGTGGGAGGTTAACAGGTGGGGGGGCACTGCTCTGGGGGGCGTTCCAGCGGTGGGAAGACAGGGAAGGGCCTGCTCACAGGCACAGAGCATCAGAGCAGGGCACTCTTGGAGATCCACAGACAGCGCGTGCGGCTGATGTACGTGGGTCAAGGGCGGAGAGCAGGGGCTGGAAAGGAGACAGGGCCCTGCTGAGAGTTTGGATTTAAGCAGTGGTAGAAGGACAGGATCTATCAAATTCCTGGATACCAAAGCAAACCCATTGCCATTAAGTCTGTTCTGAGTCCTGCTGACCCTTTGGATCAGCTAGAACTGCTCCATAGGTTCTCCAAGGCTGTAAATCTTTATGGAAACATTGCCACATCTCTCTCCTGGGGAGCACTGGTAGGTTTGAACTGTCAGCTTTTCAGTTAGCAGCCAGCCAAGTGCTTTAACCACTGTGCCACCAGAGTGCCTTAGTCTTGGGATTGTTGTTCTTGTGGTTATGTGCCGTGTAGTCGGACCTGACTCATAACGACCCCTCCCTGGGTTTCTGAGGCAGTATCACTATGGAAGTAGATTGGCCAACCTTCCTTCTGAGAAGTGGCTGGTGGGTTTGAACCTCCAGCCTTCTGGTTAGCAGTCAAATGCCTTAGGCACTACACCACCAGAGCTTCGTAGTCTTGGGATAGACTCCCAGATAACTGGGTTCTGAGGATCTGCCCTGCTTGTGGTAGGTGTGCCCCTTTCCTCCTCATCTTAAGGGTGTTTGAAACCATTTCTGTCTGTTGCTTGCTCTTCTCCAGCGTTTTAAGAGACTCAAAGGAGTCCATCTATACTCCTCCTGGGCTGGCTCTTCCTGTAGGGGAGGGCTAGATCCCCAGCAGGGTCTTGGGGGAAGCCTCCCGTGGGCTCAACATAGGCCTCTGTCCAGGTCATCGCCCCCTTCAGGCAGCCCTGGGTTTTGTTCCTGGGCTAGCTCCATTTTCCTCACAGTCCCAGAACAATCCCCGAAGCATCTTTTTTGAGCTGCTGACGAGGCTCTTGAGAGTTCGTTAGGAGAGATGTAATATGTGTTAATTGTCCCTGATAGTTTCCTGAACTCATTATGTAACCCAGACAAGAAGTTCTACTTGTAAATAACAGTTGCTGAGTTTGCTCTCACCTTCTCCTTCTCGCTCCACTCTTAGCATAATGGGAAAAATCTGGAGGAGATCATGGTTTCCACGCCCCAGACTCCGACTCACGGTGCTGTGGCTAAATTCCGTACAGAGGTAACTTGTTCCATGTCAGTGTTAACATCCTGGGCATCATTTGCGCATCAGGGCATCCCTGGCGTGTTTCAGGAGTTGACAAGCAGAGTTGATGCTTGTTTTCTGCTGTCACACACCAGAGGCCACTGGGAGAAAGTAGCTGGGGAGGTGGCAGTTTTACTGGCATAAAGTGAAGCCTATTCTGATGCCCTCAAGGAGGTGGCTTGACACAGTGGCTACAACGATGGGCTCAGGTAGAGCAGAGATTGTGAGGCTGACATGGGGCCAGGCGGTGTTTCGTTGCATTGTACGTAGGGTCGCTATAAGTCCAAGCCGACTCAACGGCACCTGACAACAACAATTCTGATGCCAGCCAGGCCCTCACCAGTGCCATGGCTCCTGCCTTCTTTGCCACCGGAGAGAGAAAGGCCTAGCTGGCTCCATCTTCCCACGGGGGAGGAGAGCGGCTTAAGTATTAGGAGATTGTCTCTCAGGAACCCTTCTTCAGGTTTCTGGGTGCAGAGCTGGGAAGGATCTGCCTCTGTTTTGCCTCTGCTGGTTTCTTTTGATGGGTGGGACCCAGCCCCCCTCCTCCTTGGGATTCCAGCTGACCTGCTGTGTCCTCAGACTCAGCATTTTGGTTTTTCTGTTGGCTACAGCTTCCCAGATCTGCCAGTCCGTTTTAGAGCCAAAGCAGTAAACATCCACCAGGATTCAAAGCATTTAGTAATGTAAGAAGGTTAATGATTAAAGCAGAGATGTCCCAAATAAATACATGACGGGTTTCACAGTGGCTAAGACACTGTGTAAACCTGTTGATGTAAATGGGGGTTCCCTGCCCCTAAGGTTTTTTTAGTCTTTCATAAGAAACAAGTGTGGTCGCCTTTTCCTTTTATGTAATTAAAGTCAGAACCTGTATTTTTATTTATTTATTTATTTTCAAAGAGCAACTTTTGTTATAGCTGCTTACTGAAAGAAGTGATAATGTAGCAGCAAGATTTCACATGCTATTTTCTGGGCTCAGAGATGATGAGACGAGGAACTGTGGCCACCTGCTGCACTTTTTCTCAGGGTGCTCTCCCATCCCCTCACCCCACCATCCTGTCTCAGCCAAGGTGCTGTAGGAAGTTGGGCCCCTTAATAGAGCCCCCTCCTCCCTATGTTCTGTGGTGCCAGGTTGTTGCAGGTTCCCAGTCATCTGCAGAGGATGATTTTGGACGAGGGCCCTGGCTGACCATGAAATCTGCTCTGGGCCTGGATGAGAGAGACCCGACATGCTTCCTCTGTACCTATAGCATCATCATGGTGTTGCGGAAGGTAAGGAAGGGTCCTGGGCACTGAGACCCAATCCCAGACCATGTCTCTCCCTTTCTCCAGCTGACTGGCTCAGCTTCCTTTCAGAAAGGAGCTATCTCTTACCTCCCTCTTAGCCCATACCTGTCTCTCTGCTTGTATCTTCACTCCCCTTCTGCTCACTACCATCCACAGTGTTGAGCACAGGCAGGAGAAAGTGAGTATGGTCACATCTCTGTACTTCTGGGCCCCCATGTGGGAGGGGTAAGCACACTGCTACCCTTCAAGCTCCCAGTGGTCGAGGGCTGGGTGCAGACACCTGTCAGGACGTGTGCTAGCACAACTCTGCCTGTGGCCTGCTGCCATGGGGTACTGTATAAATACATATACACAAAAGGGAGGAGGCGGGAGGGAGGTGAAGGGCCTGCCACTTCAGGTCTGCCAGGGGGAGGGGATGATCTTTGTAAATTACTCCTGGGTTGGCTGCACTTGGTCTCCACAAAGGGAGATCATGTCCATACCTCTCCATCCCCCTGAGCCCTGTCTCCTGGTCTGTCTGGAACACTGGGAAACCTGGGAAGTTACAAGTGGTCGATGGCTGGCTCAGCAAATGCCTCTCCTTGTAAACAGGCCGCCCTGAAACAGCTGCCTAGGAATAAGGTCCCCAACATGGCGGTGATGATCAAGTCCCTGACCCGGAGCACAATGGACGCCAGCGTGGTTTTCAAGGACCCCACAGGTGAGGAGTGAGGTCCCGGGTGTGTCTGATGACTACTCTCTGTTGAGATCAGGAGGTGAAGAGGAGTCATCCTCTCCATTTGCAGCTGGGAAAATGGAGGCAGTGAGCAGCCCACTTCCTGGCCAGGCCCCAAACCAGCCCCTGTGCTTCCTGAACTCTAAGGCTGACGGCCCCCTGTGGTGTTTGCAGGGGAGATGCAGGGGACAGTGCACAGGGTGCTGCTGGAGACACATCAGAATGAGCTGAAGCCGGGCTCCGTGCTGTTGCTAAAGCAGGTAGGGGAGCTCCCTCGGGGACCTCTGCTTGCCCCAACCCGGGGAGAGCTCCTGAGATGTCAGGCTCCTTGCCCATATAGCTGCCTTCCTCCCAAGACCAGGCAGTGAGTGCCTGGGCTGCTGCTAGGCCCTGGCTGGCTGGAGCTGAGTGAAGCCTGTGGCCAAGTGCAGAGCACACCAAGGGAGAGGCAGGAGGGGATCAGGTAGCCCTCTGGCAGGCCTAGTACCCCATCATGGAACTGACCCGGCCCTCCTTCTGCTCCAGATTGGAGTGTTTTCTCCTTCACTCCGGAATCACTACCTCAATGTGACGCCAAACAACCTGGTCGACATTTACAGCCCAGATTCAGGGGACGGGAACTTCCTCAAGCCATCTCAGCCCTTCCCCAAGGTAAGGGACAGGATGAGGGGACTGAGGGAGGCCTCTTTTCCCAAAATCTTCTGATTTCTTCCCCTCCTCCACCCTGGGGAGCAGATGCACGAGGGAGACAGTGGCCCATTAGTGAAGAAGCACCTTGGGGGACGGGCCATTTCCTCCTGTCCCCGATCCAGCCACCCACCAGCACAGTAATGGTTCCTAGAGAAGCAACTGGCTTTTTGGTGATCCCTGTGTTCTATGGTAGGCTTGAGCATCTGAGAGGCTAAGAGTCGCATGAGAACTGACCAAGTTAAGGGTCTACCAAGGAACATTGGCAAGAAATGACTGAAGGTCAGGTCTGCTACAAGGGGCCAGTCAGAGAGCCACGAGCTCCAAATGGCCTGTCAGGTATACCAGCACTTGCTCTGCACCTTTTCTCTCGACCTCAGCCTGTGCTAGGTGACAGGGGCCCTACACAGAACTCTGCTGGGGACCCCACCTTCAGGAACTTGGGAGGTGAGCATTTGGGATCTGCGTGAGGTGAATAGGGTTCCAACTGGCGTGAGAGTGCAGAGCCTGGACTTGACTTGGCACATGGCGTCACCTCTGTGGCCACCCTTACTCTTTGTGGGATCCTAGGCTGTCATGGAGGAGATAATGGTTTCCACGCCCCAGACTCCGACTCATGGTGCTGTGGTCTTCACCCAGCTCTGTTGGTAATTTGCAGCGTGATCTTGGGCAAGCCTGGTCCCCGCCCCTGCTATTGCTTCATCGGTAAAACGAGTGGGTTAGCCTTGGCACCTCTGGGAGTCCTTCAGCTCTAGTTTTCTACTTCCATTTCCCTCGTCTTTCTTCTCCTCCTACACATTCTTTCAGAAATATATGATCTTGCAACTTCTGAAAACTAAATCTTTATTTTTCTTTTAAATTTCAAGTCATCTGTACTCATCGATGCAGGAGAAGGATGGGGAAGTCTACTTCTGTAAAGATTGACAGCGTTGGAAACCCTATGGGGCAGTTCTACTCCGTCCTATGGGGTTGCTACGAGTTGGAATCAACTTGACAGCAGTGTTTTTTTTTTTTTTTATGAACTCTGGTGGCATAGTCCCTGTGGTATTTGACTGCTAACCAGAAGGCTGGCGGTTCAAACCCACCAGCCACTCCTTGGAAGGAATGTTGGGCAGTCTCCTTCCATAGAGATACTGCCTCGGAAACCCACAGGGCAGGGGGTCACTATGAGTTGGATCTAACTCAACGGCAGTGAGTGAGTTTGGTGGCTTAGTGGTTAAAGCATTAGGCTGCTAACCAAAATGTCGGCAGTTTGAACCCATCAGCCCAATCCATAAGAGAAAGATGAGGCAGTCTGCTTCCGTGAAGATTTACAACCTTGTAAACCTTATGGGAGCAATTCTACTCTGTTCTATAGGGTCACTATGAATCGGAATTGACTCTATGGCAGTGGGTTTAGTTCTTCTTTTTCTTTTTTTTTTTTTTCCAATACTCATTGAACAAAGCTGAAATGGTGCAGAATGAAGTAAAAAGTGACCCTCACCCTTCCCCACTCCCATCCTCTGGAGTTAACCATGTTGTTGTTGTTATATGCCATCGAGTTGGACCCGACTCATAGCAACCCCTTCCTGGGTTACCGAGGCAGTATCACTATGGAAATAGATTGCCCCATCTTCCTTCCGAGGAGTGGCTGATGGGTTAGAACTGCCAGCTTTCTGGTTAGCAGTCAAGTGCCTTAGGCACTACGCTACCAGAGCTCCTGGAGTTAACCATGGTGAACGATTTAATTATCAGTTTGGATTACCTGCCCATATATTACCTGTTTTGGGGGTTGTTGGCAGATAATTTTTAATCCCAGTCCAATTCAACAGATTTCTGAATGGCCTCTTCACTCTGCTCCAGTTAAACCAACTCCTTAAAACTTTAGGTGCTTAGACACTTAACAGGATTAGGTGAAAAAATCAGCTATTAATGTTTTTGAGTTACCTGCTGTTTCAAGTATTCAGTGTTTCAGCTCCCTCTGCCAGCAGGGTCCCTGACAACTGACTGGCCCCTGCCACACGCCTTCACTGTCTCTTTCCTGAGGACTCCACCTGTTCCTCTGAGGTGGTCTGAGTGGAGGCGGTACCATCGAGAGGGATCTCAGGAGCACAGGCAATAGTAACAAGATCCTCTGTCCCCAGGATCCAGGAAGTATCCATGGCCACCTCCAACGTGATGTGGACGTGAAGTCCGAGGAAGACCCCAGAACAGCACAGAACCCAGGGGCAAGAGTGTTCCCCAAAGAGCTCTCAGAAGCAGGTAAGGCGGTCAGGCCAACTGGAGCAAGAGAGGTTTTCTTTCTATTTCTTCTTGTTTTTTTATTTTCTCCACAATATTACGTCATTTTTGGTTGAAGTTTACTTAGCACATTAGGGTCCCGTGTGACAGGTTCTATACAAATTGATCAGTGACATTAGTTACCTTTTTCACAGGTGTCAACATTGCCTTTGTGTTCTGGTTATATCATTTCCATTACTCTAGTTTCCCTGTCCCCTCATCTTCTCATCTTTGCTTTGGAGTAAATGTTGATCATTTGCACTCATACACATGGTTTTTCAGCCGAGCACCGATCTAACAGATAACGTCATTTATTTTGTTGGTCACTCTGCTTTTCTGCTAACAGGTGATCTCAGGTTAGTGTTGGTTTAGGGTTTCAGGTGTCTCAGGACAATAGTTTCAGGGAGTCCTCTAGTCTCAGGTGGTCAAGTTGTTGTTACATGCTGTCGAGTCATCTCTGACTCATAGTGATCTTAGGTACAACAGAATGAAACACTGACTGGTCCTGTGCCAGCCTCACTATCCCTAATACCTGAGCCCATTGCTGCAGCCACCATGTCTATCCATCTCATTGAGGGCCTTCCCCTCTTTCACTGACTCTCCACTTTACCAAGCATGACATCCTTCTCCAGAGAATGGTCCCTTCTAATAACATGACCAAAGTAGGCGAGAGGAAGTCTGGCCATTCTTGCTTCCAAGGAGCATTCCAGCTACACTTCTTCCAGGACAGATTTGTTAGTCCTTTTAGCAGTCTACGGTACTTTTAGCATTCTTCACCAACACCACAACTCAAAAGCATCAACTCTTTGATCTTCCTTATTCATTGTCCCGCTCTCACATGCATATGAGGCGATTGAAAATACCATGGCTTGGATTAGGCGCATCTTAGTCTTCAAGGAGGTATCTTTGGTCCTCAGCTCTTGAAAGAGGTCTTTTGCAGCAGATTTGCCCAATTCAATACATCTTTTGATGTCTTAATTGCTGCTTCCACTGGCATTGATTGTAGAATCAGGTAATATGAAGTCTTTGACAAAGTCAGTCTTTTCTCCATCTATTGTGATGCTGCTTATTGGTCCAGTTGCGAGGAGTTTTGTTTTCCTTATGTTGAGGTGTATCCATACTGTAGACTGTAGTCTTTAATTTTCATCAGTAAGTGCTGTAAGTCATCCTGACCTTCAGCAAGCAAAGTTGTGTCGTCTGCATATCGCAGGTTGTTAATAAGCCTTCCTCCAATTCTGATGCCACGTTCTTCTTCATATAGTTCTTGGATTATTGCTCAGCATACAGATTGAATAAGTGTGGTGAAAGGATATAACCCTGACGCACTCCCTTCCTGATTTTAAACCATGCAGCATCCCCTGTCATGTTCAAGTGACAGCCTCCTGGTCTGTGTACAGGTTCCTTCCTCATGAATTCAGTCAAGTGCTTTGGAATTTCCATTCTTCTCAAAGTTGTCCATAATTTGTTATGATCCACGCAATTGAATGCCTTTGCATAGTCAATACAACACAAGGAAACATCTTTCTGGTATTCTTTGCTTTCAGCCAAGATCCATCTAACATCAGCTATGATATCCCTCGCTCCACATCCCTTTCTGAATCCAGCATGCATTTCTGGAAGTTCTCTGTAAATATACTGCTGCAACCATTTTTGAATTATCTTTAGTAATATTTTACTTGTGTGCTATATTAATTAATTAATAACTGTCCAGTAATTTCCACATTCTGTGGGATCTCCTTTCTTTGGAATGGGTACAAATGTGGATCTCTTCCAGTCAGTTGGCCAGGTAGCTGTCTTCCAAATCTCTTGGCATAGCTGAGTGAGTGCTTCCAGTGGGGCATCCATTTGTTGAAACATCTCAATGGGTATTCCCTCAGTTCCTGGAGCCTTGTTTTTCACCAATTCCTTCAGTGCAGCTTTGACTTCTTCCTTCATTGCCATTGGTTCTTGATCATATGCCACCTCCTGAAATGATCATCTACCAATTCTTTTTGGTATAGTGACTCTGTGTATTCCATCCATCTTCTTTTGATGTTTCCTGCATCATTCAACTTATTGCCCATGGAATCTTTCAGTATTGCAATTCGAGGCTTAAATTTTTTCTTCAGTTTGAGGAATGCTGAGCATGTTCTTCCCTTTTGGTTTTCTAACTCCAGGTCTTACCACATTTCGTTATAATAATTGACTTTGTCTTCTGCTCTTTGAAATCTTCTGTTCAACTCTTTTATACTGTCCATTTTCCCATTTACTTTAGCTACTCTCTGTTCAAGGCAAGTTTCAGAGTCTCCTCTGACATCCACTTTGGTCTTTTCTTCCTTTCCTGTCTTTTTAATGACCTTTTGCTTTCTTAGGGATGATGTTCTTGATGTCATCCCACAATTCCTCTGGTTTTTGGTCACTGGTGTTCAGTGCATCAAATCTATTCTTTAGATGGTCTCTAAATTCAGGAGGGATATAATCAAGGTCATATTTTGGCTCTCGTGGACTTATTTTAATTGTCTTCAGTTTCAACTTGAACTTGCATATGAGCAGTTGATGATTTATTCCATAGTCAGCTCCTGGCCTTGTTTTGGTGGTCAAGCTAGTCTAACCTTTTTTAAGAATTTGAGTTCTGTTCTACATTTTTCTCCTGTTCTATTTCTCCCATTCTATTCTATTCTCTTGTAAGCCTGGTCAGATCAGTCAGTGGTGGTAGCTGGGCATTGTCTAGTTCTTCTGTCTCAGGGTACTCCTTCTCTTTCTTCTCAAATAACTCAGCCTGCATCTTCTTGACTGTCATCTTATTCCTCTTTCTGTGGGTCTTTGGGTCTTACAGAAATCAGAAATGATATCTTGTTTGGCAAGGTTGCAGCCCTTCTAGTGATAAAAACCTATTGCTCATCGAGTTGATTTCAATAATGCCTTATAATGTGATAAAACCAAACCAAACTCACTGCCGTGGAGTTGGAGCTGACTCATAGTGACCCCTCCTTGGGTTTCCAAGGCAATATCACTACGGAAGTAGATTGGCCAACCTTCCTTCCGAGGAGTGACTGGTGGGTTTGAACTGCCAACCTTCTGGTTATCAGTTAAATGCCTTAGGCACTATGCCACCAGAGCTTCTTATAATGTGATAGGGGCCACAGAGAGCAAATATGAGTATGATCCACAGGTCTCCCTGATTTCCAGACCTTGTGCTATTAGCCACCAGATGGACAGGAACTATTCTTGTGTCCTCCTTGGAGTCTTCTGGGGCTGATGGCCAGACCAGAAGACCTTGTTCTGAAGTAATGCAGCCTGCCTCACCTGCCTCCTCTTCCTTTCTACCCTGGCTACTGCTGGTTGTTCTGTCCGCCCTACCAGCGGTCGTGGGTCAGAGCAGGGCTTGGGCAGATTTCCCTATCCTGATTAAGTACAGAGGCCCTTCAGAGAGGACACCAGACCAATATACAGACCTCTTGGGGATAAGCCATCTATCTGATTGCTCAGGAGGCAGCATCACCCATATGATGCTAACATAGGCCAAGGTCTAGTCTTTAGCTTTTTAATACTAGAAATCCAACACCGCGTGACCCCAGCATCATAAGATTATGGGTGGGTGTCTCACACTAACCAAATTCACAGTAGACCAATGGATAGACTACAAAGCCAATGTATTCATATCCTGTAAAAAAGTATTTGCCCATTATGCCGGGATTTTGCATTGTCTAGGATCTTGCACTGTCTTTGTAAGTAGTAAGAGCTTGTTGACAAGCCAGGTCATCTTCAGGAGGTTGCTGGTGGTGATTGAGTAACCTGGTGGAGTTAGCCATAGAAAATTGTGGCTGCTGTCACATCTCCACTGTAGGGACAGATCTGCCAAATAAGCAAACCAGTGGTGATTAACATCTATGGCTTCTTGAATCCAGTAGGTGGGTGTTTTATAGTTGGAGCCTGGGTGTGCTTACCTGTGCAGATGGTTTTACCTCTTTAAGCTCTGTTCTCTCAGGCAAAGTGGGGATTATAACAGGAGCTACCATGAGATGCCCTGTGAAGGGTTATTGTGAGGCTTAACAGTAAGTTCAGAGACTAAACAATAATGATGAGCAGAATGTTCTTGGCCTTGGACCTGGCACAGAGTAATCGCTCAGTAAGTATTCACTGTTATTGCTAACAATAATACTATCAGTAGGGATTACTGAGACCAGCTCTCTTTCTAAGTTCTTGGATATAAGTGCCCTGAGAACTGCAGTCATAGGGGCAGTTCCTCTCATTCCTCGTTCACTCTGGCACTTTGGGGAAGGAGGTGGTGTCTCCCACTCTTCTGATGAGACCAGATTAATGAACTGTGTGATTCTGAACACGTCTAATGGCTTTTCCCAGCTTGTGTTTTTCTCCCTGTGTCAAATGAGAGGGCTGCATTAGAGGGCCGCCAAGCCTTCTTGTTCAGGCACTGTGCCTCTGGGTGGAACTAGAGGAATCATGGAGGCCCAGGGGGACGCTCTTTCACAGCAGATTGGCCCGGGGATTATGCCCCTGCCTTTTGTTGTGTGTGGGTATGTGGGGAGCTGTGGGAAGATGGAAGGCAAGCCAGCCTCAGGCCTATTGGTCTGGGCCCCACTACTCAGGGGGAGCCACCCTGCCAACTATAGCCAGGCTCAGACCCTCCTGGGGGGCAGGAGCTATGAATCCAAATCACGTGAATCCCTAATGTTGTCACTAACCATCACCCCCTCTCCGCAGATGACCTGGACGGGCTCCTGAGTGAGCTCCCCGAGGACTTCTTCTCTGGGACCAGTAGTTGGGACTGCCCTAAGGCAGGGCCCCCACCGTGAGCAGGCGGCCTCTCAGTGCCTCGGCAAGACTCTGAGCGTGTCTGATCATGTCCAAGGGAGAGAAGACGACCAGCGCAATTGGAGAATAAGCAAAGCGTGGGGCTCCTGTGGGTGTTCCCACCCTTATGCCTTCCTGAGAACGCCCTTGTCTCTGGGTTTCTGCACTACCATCACTTTGGGTCTTCTTTCGGCATTCCAGGACTTGGCACAAGGCTAGCTCTCCAGCCCTCTGGTGCATCCTTGCCAACAGGAAGGTGTGTCATCTCCAGTGTCACTCTCCCCACCTCAACTTGAGTTTAGAGGATGTTGGGTGTCCTGTCCTCATCCTTTCACTCACTAGTCCCAGGACAGCTGAGTAGGTGAGACGGGCCACACCACAGTGGTGGCGACCTGCCTCTCTGGACCGAGAAGAGAAACACTCAGACTTTTGCCTCTGCTTTTTGCCAGGTTCGTGAGGCCTGTGGCTCCCCAGCTTACGAGCCCAAGGTTCCCAGGTGCAGGGCCAGGGGTGTGGGCTGTTGTACCTTGTTCTGAAATAAAGCATCCTGCCTCATCTGCCTCCTCTTCCTTTCTGCCCTGGCTGCTGCTGGTTGTCCTGTCCACCCTATTGGTGGTCGTGGGTCAGAGCAGGGCTTGGGCAGATGACAGGGGAGGGCAGAGCCAAGCAACTTAAAAAAAAAAAAAAGTATTATTTTAGACAGGTTTATAGAAGACTTGAGAAGGTAGTACAGAGAGAGGGCTCCCATATACCTCATGCCCAGCTTTCTCTATTACAGTATCTTCATTTGTATGATACATTTGTCACAGTTCATGAGCCAGTATTGAGACATCATTATTAACAAAACCAAAGCAAATTCACTGCCATCAAGTTGATTCTGATTCATAGTGACCCCCATTGGGTTTCCGAGTCCATACATCTTTACAGAAGTAGATGGCCCTATTTCCTTACGGAGAGCAGCTGGTGGGTTTCAACTGCTGACCTTCTGATTAGCACCCAAATGCCTTACCCACTGTGCCACAGAGCTCCTTATTACTAACCAAAGGCCGTCCTTCCTCAGTTGTTCCCTACTGTCCTGTGTCCCAGGATCTTAGCCAGGATAGCACATACATTTAGTCCTCCATGTCTCCTTGGGCTCTTCTTGGCTGTGGCAGTTTGTGAGACTTTCCTTGTATGACATGACTTTGACAGCACTGAGCACTGGGCAGACGTCCTTCTCTCTTGGACTTTGATGTTTCTCATAATCAGAGCTGGGTTATGGGTTTTGGAGACGAAGACAACAGTGGTAAAGTGCCATTCACATCCCCTCATCTAAAGTATACATACTGTCAACCTGATAGCACTTTTGGTGTTGACCTTGGTCTCTGGCTGAGGTGGTGTTTGTCAGGTGTCTCCACTGGAAGGTTACTCGTGCCCTTTTCCATACTGTACTCTTTGGGAGGAAGCCCTGTGAATGGCCTACACTAAGGAGTAGGCAGTAGGGAGTTGATGCTCCATCTCCTTAGGTAAACAATTTGGAATTGTTCTGCTTGGGAGATTTGTCTACTCTTCCTCATTTAGTTAGGTAATTATTTAGATCAGTATGGACTAATGGATATTATAAGTTATACTTCTATTTTGTTGCCCAGCAACTCTTCATTGCTATAGCTTCTCTGTACCACTTTTCAGACAAAGTTGGACAGACAAGGGTGGGGTATAAAAGGTCTAATTATACCAAGTTGCCAACCCTGTTTTCCTTTCAGGGATGAAGGCAGAAAGGAAAATTCTCATTACTCGTATGGTGGGGAGAAGGGTGGTCTGAAGACCCCATTTTGACTGCCAGCCTCCTCTGGCCTTCAGCTTCAGCCTTCACTAAGCAACTGAGCTGGGGGCCTCCTGTGGGCTCGGCGCTGCTCGGGGGAAGGCATTAATCTCCCTTTTCCAAAGAGAAGTTAATTCCATGGAGCCCAGTCTTGAAGCTGAAGTGAGCAAGTGCTTCGAGACTCCATGCTTAGCTGGCTGCTGACTGCAGTGGGGCCCTTTCCTAGAAGGCTGTGTGCTCCTAGACCAGAAGAAAGAAGAGACAAGCTCACCAGCACCCTTGTCCCTTCATACTTCCGTTTGGTCTTGGCCTGAGCAGACCATGCACCCTTTTTTTTTAATTTTTGTTGTGATTTGGGTGAAAGTTTACAAAGCAAATTCATTTTCCATACACCATTTTGTACACATTTTGTTTCATGACATTGACTACAATTCTCCACCATGTAACAGCTCTCTTCTCACTTCCTCCCTGTAGTTACCTCTTCCCTGTGTCCTTCCTTCTCATGCACCACCCTCTCCCTGCCCCCTAAGCTGTCTCCTTGTGCAAACACTACCCTTCCGTCCTCCCACGATTGATCGCTCCAAGGAGTGTTATCTACCTGATGTAAATGTTCACATCAGGGGAACTAGGGGCTATAGTCTTGGGGGTCTCACTAGACAATCAGACTAGTAAACCTGGACCTTTTTTTTAAGATTTTGAGTTTTGTTCCACATTGTTCTCCCACTCTATGCAGGTGCTGCAGACCATGCACTTCTTTCTCTTCCACTTCTCTTCCGCCACTGCTCACTCCCCAGCTCTGCCTCTGGCTTGGATCTGGCCTAGAGCCATCTACTCCATGTGGTCTTCCTGTACCTCAGTCCCCCTGTCCCTCTGCCTGCAGTTCTCTCTCCCACCCTGGACTTCCCTAGTCTCTCCTGGTCACTATCCTGACCAATCCCCAACTGCTTTCTTGCGTTGTGCCTGTTCACCCCACAGGATCTGAGCTCCTGAAAGACAGGCTGGACATGAAAACGTCAGGCACTGTTACCTCCAGTGGAACTGGGCTCCCTGTGGCCCCATGGGCAGATTGAAATAAAGGCCTTGTTCTGTCTTCAGGAAGCTAATATTGAGGATGAGACAGAACACACTATCTCTGGGGGATGAGCTGTAGTCAGCACCTTCAGGCCTATGTGGCAGGGAGGTGGGAGAGATGTGGGGACGTCAGCATACACGTGGGCCCAAGTGCTGTGACTGCTGTGTGCGTCAGGAAGGGGACGCCCATCCTACCTTGCCAGGCTCCCAACCCTGGGAACTCAGCTGTGGGTGCTCAGGCAGGCCGTTGGCGGGGCAATTAAAACACCAATAGAGTTCACCACAGCTGCATTTACAGAGGCCTTTTCTCTGAGGATCTCTGTCTTAGTTCTTTGGTGCTGCTATAACAAATACCACAGGTGGGTGGCTTTAACAAGCAGAAATTTATCTTCTCACAGTTTAGGAGGCTAGCCGTCTAGACTGAGGGTGCGGCTCTAGGGGAAGGCTCTCCCCCTCTGTTGGCTCTGAGGAAGGTCCTTGTCTCTTCCCGAGCTGCTTCTACTCCTGGACAATCTTCATGTGGCTTGGCATCTCTTCCCCTGTCTCTGCTTCCTCTTCTTCACTTGCCTGTTAAATCTTTTATATCTCAAAAGAAATTGACTTAACACAACCCTATCCTGATCCTCATTTACATAACAAAAGACAACTCATTCCCAAATGGGGTTATAACCAGGGTCATAGAATTAGGATTTACAACACACACTTTGGAGAACACAGTTCAATCCACAACAATCTCCAAGCTCTTGCTGGGCATGATTATGTTCCTCCTTTGGGGTCTCCCACCCTGGAATACCGTCAGGAAGCTAGGGCCAGGCCGAGAGTGGGAGAACAGCAGGGTAAGGCCAGTGCCGGAAAAAGCCCAGGCTGCTGCCACCCACTTGGCCTGGTGGACGGGTGTTTGTTCTGGCAGAGAATAGAGGCCTTCACTGGCATTCACATGAGAGCCTGGCCAGCTATGAGCCCAACGCCCCTAAAACCTGCATCCCAACCTACTATGTGCCAGGCCCAGAAAGATAAGTGAATATATTCAGGTTCTGCTTTGAATCCCGCTGGGATAAGAGTTTCACCAAAACAAACAACAACAACAACAAAAACCACAAACTCACCACTGTTGAGCCAATTTGTAGTGACCCCTCCTTGGATTTCCAAGGCGGTATCTCTATGGAAGTAGATTGCCCAATCTTCCTTCCGAGGAGTAGCTGGTGGATTTGAACCACTAGCCTTTTGGTTAGCAGACAAATGCCTTGGGCACTATGCAACCAGAGCTCCTGTTTGAAGCTTTTTACCAAGTGCACGGGAAGTCCATCAGGAACACAGATTGGGGAGTGGCTGGAACCATGCAGGCAGGTGCCTGAGGTTGCTGTAGGGATGTCTCCGCAGAGCAGGCGACTTTTGAGATGGATTTCGAGGAATCAATCAGAAAGGAATTCTAAGCAGAGGAAAGGGCCCTGAGAGGAAGTGGTGAGGAGCTGTAACAGGAATATTCAGTAACGGGAAGCCAAGCAGAGGAATTGGGACTGAGCTGAGGAGAGCAGGTGTAGGAAGTCAGTCGATGTTTTCAGGTAAGAAAACAACTCATTTTAGACCGGTCATTCTGGCCTGCAGCCTGAGGAAGGAACACGAGGCAGGGGGCTTGGTGATACAGGTTAGGCTCTAGGGCCTGAACTTCCAAGGGTGGTTGAAAACAGGAAAGCAGGAGCTAGAACTTTTTGTATGAGGGAACCCAGGACCGAGGGAGAGGAAGAAGTCAGAGAGACTTGAGCTGTGGGCTGCTGCAGGGCCAGGGAGGGGAGGAAGTGCATTGCTGGGGACACAGACCAGCCAAGGCCTGCAACCAGATGCGCTGAAGCCTGTCAGACAAACCTTGAGTGACAGGGAGAGAGGGGTTGGCTGCCTGCACACTGACTGAGCTCTTGGCTTAGAAGAACTTCTGAGGGCAAGGGGCTGGCCCTCCTTCCTTTTCCCCAGCTTGGCAGCCAAACTGTTCCCAGTCTTCAGGCAGGTGTTGTTTCACGGCCTCATTCCTCCCCCTAGAGGCTCCTGGGAGCAAGGCCACTTTCTCATAAGGGTGAATGGGTTTGTGGCTTTAAGGCCCCAGAGTGGTGAAGTTAGCCCCTTGGCCCTCAGGCAGGGATGTGAGCCCTCTTGAGAGCTGGGTAAAATAATTTTTTCCCCCCCAAGAATTAGGGTAATTTCTAGAGAGGCTGGCACAGGACCGGGCAGTGTTTCCTTCTGTTGTACATAGGGCCGCTATGAGTGGGAACCGACCTGATAGCACCTAACAACATGCTGTTGGCGTGCTGGTGAGAGCAGAACCTAGCAAAAGTCTTCCAGATCAGGTGGCCACAGCAGCTGGAGGGAAGAGCGCCATCTGTGGGATCCTCCTTCTGGCTCCACTCCACACAAGCTGTGTGATCTTGAGCAAGTCATCTGACCTTGTTAAGCTTTAAATTCCTCTTCCGAGAACAGGAATAAGACTACCTATCTCAGAGATGTTGAAGTGTGAGACATGTTGTTGTTGTTATTTGCCGTTGAGTCGCCCCCAACTCATAGCAACCCCTCCTTGGGTTTCCAAGGCAGTATCACTATGGAAGTAGGATTGCCCAACCTTCCTTCTGAGGAGTGGCTGGTGGGTTTGAACCGCCAGCCTTCTGGTTAGCAGTCAAGTGCCTTAGACACTATGCTACCAGAGCTCCTAGTCATAGTCTAATTCTGTATAAAACAACCCTACTTAACCTAAGGACGCAAGGTTTTTTGTTTTTTTTTTTTTGCTTTAAGATTTTAAAAAAAGGCAATTTCCTAAGATATACTTAGTGAAAATTATCTCAAGAGCCAATATTTTCCATTATTTACTGTCCTAATATAATTTACTGTCCAAATCAAATTTATTGTTTTCCTGGACTAGCCGGGAAGTGCGTTCACCCCAGTGAAAGTGATTTGAATATTGGAAAGTTCTCGCACATATTACTGGAGATGTTTGGAGAAACTGTTCTTGACCTCCCTTATTTCCTGGGCTGAGGTCTGCACTGTCCCCTCAGAGTGAGCCCACATCAGAGCAGCAGGAGGACCCTGGCTATTCCAACCTGGCCTGTCTGTCTCTCTGACTGTTTCACTCACCTTGACAACCAAGAGGTGCTCCCTACACACACAGAAGGATTGGGATGCAGGGGTCCTGGAGTGGCCTCAGCTGAAGGCCTGGAGCCCAGTCAAAGGGTGTCAGCAGAGACAGGGACTGGCCCTAGCCCTGGGTTGAGGGTTGGCCCCAGCACCATCTCAGCACCAGAATCATGCTCTGGGTGAACTGTTTACCAGAGAGCAGAGGGGCCTATTTATAGCCCCAGCTGGTCTTCTTTCTGGCTCACGGGTGAGGGGGCAGGGTGGCTCCTCAGAGCAAGGGTGGCTGGGCTGAGGGGACCTAGCTCTACCCAGGTGCCCCTGCCCATGGCGGGGGAGACCTTCCCCTTCACCTCCTCCACCCTCCGCTCACTCCGTCTGCAGCGAGAGTGGCTGGAGTGGGAAGACCGGCGGCAGGCTGTGGCCCAGCAATGCCAGAGACGAAGGTGCCCCCCCAGCCCCCGGGCCCAACTCTCTAGGCCTCGACGCTCCTGCCGCGACCCAGCTGTCCACAATGCCTTGTTCTCTGGTGACTTGCAGCAGGTCCAAGTCCTGTTCCAAGATGAAGAGGCTGCCAACATGATTGTGGAGACCGTGAGCAACCAGCTGGCCTGGTCAGCAGAACAGGGTAGGGAGCACCAGGTGGGGGCAGAAGAGGAGGGAAAGAGAAGAGCAATGGAGGGGTTGCGTGTGGGCACCATCCCCGCTCCAGACCATAGACTGGACCATCCCGTTCCACCACCCGTTCCACTCCCTCCTAAACAGAGAGATGAGGCAGGCGGTGGTTTGTTTTTTTAAGAACTAAAGTATTTTTTTCCCTCTAACTATAAATATAATAATCACACGCTATTAAGAGTAACATAATTATATTCTAATGAAATTTTCTCTGCACGTATATATATGCACACATAAATATTTTTCTTTTATAGAATGAGATCCTCCACCTTCTGTTTCATAACCTGCTTTTTTCATGTAACATATTGCCATATCAGTAACTATAAACAACAACAAAAAAAGACCCAAACTCACTGTCGTTGAGTCGATTCCGATGCATAGTGACCCCATTGGGTTTCCAAGGCAGTAAATCTTTACAGAAGTAGATGCCCCATCTTCCTTCCACGGAGAAGCTGGTGGGTTTGAACTGCTGATGTTCTGGTTAGCAGCCAAATGCCTTATCCACTACACCAGCAGAGCTCCTTTCAATAACTATAGTCCACATAATATTTTAAATAGCCCAGCCTGCTGCCACCCACTTGCCCTACTAAAGTCTACCGTATGCATGTGCCATGACTTATTTCACCAATCCCCAAGTAGATTGGGTTCTATTTTTTAGTTTTGTACTATTTTAAATAACAATATGACAAACATCTTTGTGTACTTGCCAGATGATTTCCTTAAGAAACCAGAGGGTTTCTAAATGTAAACCAAACACTTCAACTGAAGCAGCCCTGTTTTTAAGATTGCCTAAACCCCAGCCATAGATTCTGATGTTCACAATCTTTGGGAGAACTTATGCTCCCATAGTTGCCAACCAGTTAAACCAGTTGTGTGGAGTCCATTACACCATGTCATCAGAGCAGAACTATCCTCCATGGGGCTTTTAATGACTGATTTTTTTTTTAATGCTTATTTATTTATTTATTGTGATTTGGGTGAAAGTTTACAGAGCAAGTTCACTTTCCATACAGCAGCTTGCATACACTTTGTCTCATGACACTGACTACAATTTCCCACAATGCAACAGCTCCCCTCCCACTTCCTCCCCATAGTTCCCTCTTCCCTGTGTCCTTCCCTCCTATGCACTCCTGCCCCCCGAGCTATCTCCCTGGGCATACACAGCCCTTCTATTCTCCCATGATTGATCTCTCCAAGGAATGTATCTACCTAATGTAAATGTTTACCCCATATACCTGTCTTTTGTTTGGCTGGAAGTCACAGGAGTGGGTTCAATTCCAGACCCGAAGGGCCGCTAGGGGCCATAGTCTCAGGATTTCTACCAGGCTCTATCAGACCAGCAAACCTGGTCTCTCTTTTTTTTTTAAATGATTTTGAGTTTTGTTCACATTGTTCTCCCACTCTATCCAGGATCTCCTACCTAGATCCCCCTCTGAGTGTTGATAGTGGTAGTCAGGCACCATCTAGTTCTTCTGGTCTCATAGTCATACAGGCTGAGGATCACATGGTGTACCAGTTAATGACTGATTTGAAAGCGGATCACCAGGCCTTTCTTCTGAAGTGCCTCTGGGTGGACTTGAATCTACAACCTTTTGGTTAGCAGACAAGAGCATTAACTGTTCACACCATCCAGGAACTCTCCCAATCAACGCGGGCTTTAAATTCTTGCTCAGCTGCAACAATTCGGTTTAGGATTGTGACCTTATCCATGGCATCCTGATCTTGTCCTGCATCATGTCTGTTATTCCCAGAATGAACTCAACCTCTTATTCCTTAATTTCAAGCCTCAAAACAAAAGCAAACAAAACTAGGCTTTACCAAAGATTTAGGAAAACCTGATTTGCTTTGTTGCAATGCAAACAATTTGCAATTCAATATTAGGCATTTATGTCCTTTAAAGTAGAGGGTCAGCAGAAGAAAAGGAAGGTCCTCAAAGAGATAGATTGACATAGTGCCTTCAACAGGAGCTCTGGTAATGTAGTGCCTAAGGCACTTGGCTGCTAACCAGAAGGCTGGCGGTTCAAGGCCACCAGCCACTCCTCAGAAGGAAGGTTGGGCAATCTACTTCTGTAGTGATACTGCCTCAGCAACCCAAGGAGGGGTCGCTATGAGTCAGGTCTGACTCCATGGCACATAGTAACAGTGCCCCCAACAATGGGCTCAAACATAGCAGAGATGTGAGGATGGCACAGACGTGGCAGTGTTTCGCTCTTATTTTACGTAGTCAATGAGTTGGAACTGACTCAATGGTACCTAACAATAGCAACATTCCTTTAAACAAATCCTCATCATTTCCACAATTCAAAGTACAACACCAGTTGCATGGTTCAACCTCTCTCCTCTTTCTCCCCACTCCTCTCACTCTCCCTCCACTTCCCACTCCTCACCCCCACCCTAACAGGTATCTTTAAATCCATTCTCCAGACTCCTCCAGTTCTGCTCCTTGGCCACACCCAAGCTCAGCTCCAGTCCTTCCAGTGACTAGTGCTCCTCCATACCCAAAGCCAGAGGGCCCAGGTGAACAAAAAGAGACAGCGATGCCATTAGTAGCTCAAATACCTGGAGGTTTCCACCCTTCTTAGTTCGCTCTTGTGGTTTTAAAGAGCTATTAATTTTTTTTTCTCCCCTGTGACACACACACTATGGTTATAGATTGCCAAGCTGTTCGAAAAGGCTGTTCCAGTTTACGCTACGGGGCTTGCCAGAGCCCTTTTCTACAGAACAGCCTGGCACAGTGTTTGTGCTCAGCAAACTGCAGAGTAGAAGGCCAGTTGTCAGGCACAGACCAGCATCCCCATTCCCTGCTCTGCCAGCCAGTCTCCCACATTCCCCATCTTGACACTGCCTGCTCTCCCCTAGGGTTCTGGGTCATGACCCCCAAGACCAAGCAGACGGCACCTCTCACCATCACTGCAGCCCGAGGCTACAATGACTGTGTCCGGCACCTGATCCGGCAGGGGGCTGAGCTGGACGCCCGCATCGGGGGATGGGCTGCCCTGCATGAGGCCTGCGCTCGGGCCCAGTCCAACTGTGTGCAGCTGCTGCTGACCTTTGGTGCCAAGGCCAATGTGCTATCTGAGGAAGGCACTGCCCCGCTGCACCTCTGCACAGCTCCTGAGTCTTTGCAGTAGGTGCCTAGGGCTTGAAATGGTTGGGGAGGGGTGTGTGTGTGTGTGTTCAGCTCACATGGCCAGGAGTAGGGGAGAACTTGACATCTGTAAGCAGCTTTGTAGTCTCCGAAGCACCTCACATACATGTGTCTGTAAATAACCAGGAGATAGGCTTCATTCTGCAAATGAGAAAACTGAGTTTCAGAAAAGTTGAGCGGCTTGTCCAAGGTCACATCTGCTAGGTCCTAGAGGCAGAGGCCCTGCTGCTTTTTGGAAAAATCCTTTTCCGACAGCATTCTCCTAGTCCTTGTGAATCTTCTGAAGCCACATTCCTAACTGTTTTGAGGTGGGGACCAAAAAAGTTCTCTGCTAGGGTTTCCCAGGCTCAATGTGAGGTGGCTCCCATCTCTCCTTCCACTTTCTAAGGTTAACAGCTCTCAGACTCCCTCCCTGATGGTATATGCACTCTTACAGATCAGGTCTATGGACAGGGCTGGTGGTGAAAAGGACTCAAAGATTTCTGAAAGACACTCCAACCTGCTGGGAACCTGTCCCCAGCTAGAGCTAGATCGATGGACCTAGAAGTCATCCAGATTTGCCAGATTTTGGGGTTCTTATGCACATGTATAGGAGCTCTGGTGGTGTAGTGCCTAAGACATTTGACTGCTAACCAGAAGGCTGGTGGTTCAAACCTACCGGCCACTCCTGGGAAGGAAGACTGGGAATCTACTTCCATAAAGATACCACCTAGGAAACCCAAGGAGGGGTCGTTATGAGTCGAATCCACTCGACAGCAGTGAGGTTTTTTTTTTTTTTTTTTAAATGCACATGTGGCACACCTTTCCAAAGACTGTATCTTTTTAAATAAGATGAAAACAGGCACTTTAGAACTCTACTTAATGAGCTTTAAAGTGTTACTTAAATTTAGCATTTGGAAAACAAAATTAGCCCATGGTTAGAACTTGCTGAGGAAATAAATTAAGTCACTAATGGAAGACTGGTTACTGCTCAACTTAGCCACCTACTGGGCCTGTGCAGTGCAGGAGCACTGGAATTCTGGCCACTTGGAGGAAAGACACCCACTTATCAGGGCTTCATCGGGGTTGAAGGAACTGTTCCTGGGTTTCCAGTGGCTGCCATTCTGGCTTTTTAATTATAAATTACTGTTCGTTTAGTTTCCTCATTATTAATTTAGTTTGTTGTGTTTTGGTTTACCCTACAGTACGTAATGATGCACATTTGCAGCAACAGTGTTTTGACCTATAATTTTTCTAGAAACAGGAAGACTGGAAACCCAGTCCCCCAAACCCATGTTTTGTTGTTTTCTCCAGGGGAAAGTGGGGTAGGTGGGCCCTTGAGGACTTTGCCTTGCCTGGGAGGGTGAGGCTGGCCTAGAAGAATGGTCTGGTTTGGGGGGCAGGAATAAAAACATCTATTTTATTTTATTATCTATTGTTTGTTGTTGTTGTTGTTAAGTGCCATCGAGTCATTTCCGACTCATAGCAACCTCATGCACAGCAGAACAAAACACTGCCTGATCCCGCGCCAGCCCCACAATCCCTGCTATACTTGAGCCCATCATCACAGCCACCGTATCAATCCATCT